AGTCCGCAGAGTCAGAGCTCTAACGGGACCAACTCCGGGAGCGGTGCCGGGACGGTGTCCTCGAGTGGCACACCATTGCCTGCTTACCCCTCGACGGCCCCCGAGGCAAGGGTGCCGGAGGGTTGTCCCCATACAGGAGGAGGCTCGCCGCAGACAGCTCGATGAGGTCCTTTGCAGCCTCAGAGGTGCCAGGTGTGGAGGGCTGATCCGTTATGCCCTTGAGCCCATCGTCCGCACTGAGCTCCCTTAGGTCTCGGCTCGGTGGGGCTTGGGTTGCCAGAACCACTGGTGTCAGCGCTGGTACCGCAGCCTTCCCGCTCTTGTCGGTGCTCGGTGCCTTGGGAGGCACCAGCCTCCTGTGCGGGGAACGACCACGCCTTCCTTTCGGCTGCGCCAGGGTCCTCACCGGGGAGGATGAGCGGTGCCGGGGCCTAGCCTGGCGCTCTGGGGCCGACAGTTTACGGTGCTTCGCCGGTGCCAGGTCTCCTGACGGCTCCGGGGCACTACGCACCGAGGAAGCCTGAGCCGGCATCGGGCACTCTGGGCCCGGTGGCTGCAATGCGGCCTCCATCAATAGATGCTTTAAACTAAAGTCCCTTTCTTTCCTTGTTCTTGGCTTAAACACCTTGCAAATCCTACACCGTTCAGTTTGATGTCCGTCCCCCAGGCAACATAAATATGAGTCATGGGGGTCACTAACTGGCATAGGTTTGCAGCACGTGGCACAAGCCTTGAAGCCGTAGGCCTGTCCCCCGACCGGAAGCCTCCAAGCACCTAATCACTTAAAGAAAAGGAGTACTTGTGGCACCTTAGAGACTAACCAATTTATTTGAGCATGAGCTTTCGTGAGCTACAGCTCACTTCAGCTGTAGCTCACGAAAGCTCATGCTCAAATAAATTGGTTAGTCTCTAAGGTGCCACAAGTACTCCTTTTCTTTTTGCGAATACAGACTAACACGGCTGCTACTCTGAAACCTAATCACTTAAGTGTCCACAATAAAGGTATGTTAACTAACTGATAACAGCTACTCTAAAGGCTAAGAGACTGCTCTTCAGAGAGAGAGAGAGAGAGAGAGAGATCGTGTTCCAATGCCGCCACAGACAGTAAGAAGGAACTGGAAGGGGTCAGGCTGGCAGGGGTATATATGCATGGCGCAGTGGCGCCACTTGGGGGGCCCCACTGGCCTGACAGGAGCCATTAAGGGAAAATGTTTCCGATGCTCATGCATGCGGCGCGTGCGCACCTAATGTGGAATGGATGTGAACAAGCACTTGAAGAAGAACTACTTAGAGCTAGCCAGTGGATTTTGTGGGACATAAACATCTTATATTCTAGTGTGAAATGTTTGGTTCAGTTTTCAATTTCTTTTTAGCAGGTCATCTTAGGCATATTGTGACTAGGTGGAACAGAGGTAAATATGCTAGTCTCTATCCTTCAGAAACCCGCTGAAGATTAGACTAGAATAAGAGTGGATGTCACAGGGTCAACCTGGCAGAGTTGCAGGTGGCACCCATGACTGGAATAGCAGGGGGTTCTGCAGGTCAGGACTAAGATGCATTGGAAGGAAGCTTGTCCAATCTTTTCACTCACTATGCCCTTAGGCTGTATTTTTCTGTTTCTCTCTTATGAAAATCAATTTTTTTTAAGTAAGCCCATTCTATCATCAGTCCTGAGTACCCAGGATTCCTCAAAATGCACTCCTTGATACAGAATTGTGCTTCAGAATCTAAGCTTTCATTTTTTTTAAGATGTATACCATGATAGCTGCTAAATCACCTCAAACAAGAACTTAGCTTAAACTGATGCAGTGAGTCTTCCTGAGCTTGTAGTGGGGGACAGCACAGACAAGCATAAATTTTCCCTTTACCTCAACAAATTAGATATGAATCAGACAGTAATATAAAATGTCAATACTTAACCATTTCACTGCTAATCCTTATACCAGAAACAGCCAATTAACACACTGATCCCACTAATTGAAATTTCCTTCGACATCACTTCAAGTGTGAAAAGCTCCAGCTGTCCCCTACTACCTGCAGCTTCCTTGGGACTCTTCCTCTTGCTTTGCTACAATACCTTCATCTCATTTGTGCAGGAGTAAGAACAAAAAACTTGTCTAGAAGTGAATATCTTAAGCAGGTGCTAAACAAGCGGGGCCTGATTCTGATTTCATGCACACAGTGGGGTAAATCAAAATTATCTTCACTGAAATAATTAAAAGTTATACTGGTGTAAAATTGGTCTAAGGTACACTGGGTATTAGCTCCATGAACTGCAGCAGTGTAGCCTCACTTGAAGCAGCATTAGTACTATAGTTTCAAAGAAAGAATCAATATATGAAATACACTATGCAATGCCATGCATGACTCAGTCCTTTCTCCAAGCCTACGGGAGAAGGTGTGTGCCAGGAGACTGTGACCACTGTGGAAATTACAAACAATTATTTACGGACTCAGAAGAGATTCTTTTTTAAGTCAGAAAAATAGTGGTTGCAATGTGGGAATTTGAAGATGGTGGGAGGAAATGAAAGGATTCTAAAGACTCGAAAATATGGATACAAAGACCCCACGAAAGCAGGAAAGAAAAAAACAGTAGCCAAAGCTATTGTCCAGAACTGCACGTATCCTTTATTTATAACTTAATACTTGGGGTCCAGGGAGGGCAGAGGCAGTCCAGAGCAAGTGTTGACAATACACAGATAGATATTCTAATGCCATGATTTTGAAATAGGACACTTCTCTAGAACACTGAGAATGAGCCTGACACAAGTCCAAAGCAATAATGAACAAAGAGCCATATAATCCACTTTGTTTCCACAAGGACACACTTATTTTTCTTGGAAACTAAATTTTTTTTCTTATGATAAATTTTAAAAACCCTGTTCCTTTACATCTGCACACATGTAACTAAACAATATGTATGGCTCACCTGGAATTCAAAACTGGGGTCAGAGAAAATAGCTATCATTCAAATATTTGTAAATGCCAAATAAAAGTTTAATATTTACAAGATGGTACAACTGAGAGGATGGCAGACTGAAATCAAGAGGGAAATGTAAATCAAATATCAAATGAATGGTGTAAGTCTCCCAATGGGAGGGAAGGAAAGCTCATACCTACAATCATTTAAAATGAGACTAGACAAAGCACTAGAAAAATCTATTTTAGTAAGCAATCTAGTCCAGTGTATAATGGGAAGAAGGTCTAGATGTGCTCATGTTTTTTTGCCCCCATTTCTGGTATATGCCAATGCTGTTCAGCTATCTGAACAATAAAATCAGACTGCAGATGCACGTTAACGAATCTCCCAATTTCTTGCAATGGTAACCAATTGTTTCAGCCAGCAATGTACATGTTCAGCTACACAGAGTCTCTCTAAAAATACAAACTTTCCTTTTAAAATATATTTGGGGGTGCAAGGAGGAAGCAGTCATTACCAACCCCACCACCACAATTAAATGTGCTAAATAAAGCTTGCTTTCATAGTAGGCAAAGACACTTTTCTAACTAGGTAGTTCTTTCACAGTCAGCCTCCTCATGTGTTCACAAAAGAATAAAACCCATAGATTACTTTGCTGAAAAATAAGCACCAATGACTGTGTTCATCAAATAGAAAGCTAGAGTGCTTCTAGAATTAGTAGCTGATTTCACCATCCTTTTTCCCTTTACTTCTCACCAGTGAACTTTCTGAAATAGCAAAATCCCTCTGAGCAAGGTATTCAGCTGCCTGAGTGAATTACATGCACCACTGTTCTAATAACAGTTTGGAACCTGCTATGGTTTTCATGGACTAACTTTGAAGTTCAGCAATCCCTCCTCCCAAAACCATTTAAAAGCTCTTTGTCCCAAGCCTTTTCCAAGAAATTCCACAGAATCACCATAGCAGCTCTCTTTGTACTAACAAACCATCACCTTGAGGTATATGTATAGCTCATATACTTTGTTATTCTGTTAAGGTAGGCAGATATGTGAAGAAAAACCATACGAATGTGTCTCAATGGAATAATAAAGCCTGAAAAAGTTAGACTGATTTTTCCAATCCTCAATAGGGTTGTCTTGTTCAGACTTAGTGAGAGGGTACCTAAAATCTAGCACAAACAAGCTAATATGAATTTGGTTTGGTTGAAATTTAAAATGGAATGCAATACAATTTACAGATACTTGTAGCAAAGTGAATACTTATCTAGCTTTCTGAAGAGATCATTGTTTTTAAGACAGTAAAATACAGCTGAATGTCTGTGCAGCAGTACAATAGTCAGTGTACCATGTCATTACACAGAAGAGCCAAGGTCATTTGTGAAATTGGAACACCTGCATCTTAGGCTAAAGGAAGCACCTCTTTGAAGAGAAAAGGCACTATCCTGTATCCTTTCACATCTCCCCAGTGAACTTTCTAAACTAGCAATATCTTTCTGAGCAAGGTATTCACCTGCCTGGGTCAATTACATGCATTACTGTTCTGGCAACATTCAAGTTCTCACTGAACAGCTTCTCATGCAATGGTGCATCTCTGGAATCAGTTACTACCAAGGTGGGTATCGTGCTAGGGTGTGACTTTTGTGGAATAAATCCGTAGAGACAACGATGTGAGATGTCAAGTAAAGGAATATTTAAGAATCAAAACATGAGCATACAGATTGGCTTGCAACACATATACAGTGACTTCGGGACCTGAGGGACCAACTGTCTAATGCTTTAATCAGGCTGGAGTGGGGCCAGGGTATCCCCACCACTAATTCTTAGGGCCTTCCAGTTCTAGTAAAAGGGATAAGATAATGAAAAAGTTCAGTGTTTCTTTTAAGAGCTTCCTCTTTCTCCCATCCCGGACATTTCCTGTACTGTGTATGCAGATATCATATACATACTGTAGTAATATTAGACTTGTTCAATTCTACTTTTTAAATACAATCAACTCAGAAGCTAGTGTTTACAATGTCTGTTCCCTGTATGAGCAAGAAAGCTCCTGCTCAAGCAAAGTTTAGTTGCAGTATATCACTGACCTTGGGACTGCCTTCCTCCAGTATTTCTCCCTCATCGGTTTGCATGGGAACAGAATCTGTGCAAAACTGCAGAAATGCAAAATAGTGCCTACAAGAAATAAAGGGAAGGAAAAAACATTTTAAAAAAGTATATAAAAAAAGGGTTTGCCATCTTCAACATTTTTGCTGGAATCTCATATAACACCACAAATAATACTGAGAGTCTTGGCCTTTAATCAGATAATACTCTGTATTTAACAGGCTGGACCTCAATCAGTGACTTGCATTCAGGACAAGATAGACAGACATTTTTTTCTTTTTAAAGAGAACAATGTGTCTAGTAGGAGCATATTACTATTTGTTTTAAATTTAGAAGTGTCAGAAGGAAATGGCTGAGAATTTACATAATCATTGTATTCACTCATTCATAAAAAGGGTGTGGTCAGCAAAGAATTACACAGATTGGAGGTCAACAAATCTCTTAATAGAAAATAATCTAAATACAAATACCAAAAGCCAGCTTTACAAATACAGAGTAGAGTGATATTACCCTGGTTACTATATTAATCAAAAAACTGTCAGCTTGACAGTGGTCCTACTATACCTGCAAATTCTTACCTTAGGGCAGAGGTCCCCAAACTGTAGGGCACGCTCCCCTATGGGGGCGTGGAGGACCATTCAGGGAACAGTGGGGTGGGAGCCCCCGTGGGCCAACCCCCAAGGGGGTGGGGTGCAGCAAAGTAGAGCCACCTAGCTCCACTTCCAGTCCCAACCCTGCACCCTGCGCCATGTTAAGGGAATAAAGTGGATGAAGAACCAACTTGTTATATCGTAACAGAGTGCTACAATTTTACTGTTCTGAAGGGCAGAGACTCAGAACATTCTTTTATATATGAAAAAGGAGACAGTTATTTCCACATTTTAATGATGGAGTTGATGGTTATTGAGAAAAATGGAAGAAGTGCCTGGAAACATAAAAACTACTCCTGGGGAAATTCTGCACCACTCCCACAGGCAGAATTCATGTCTCCCACAGATTTCCTTGCTTCCCCACAGAAAAATGGGGGAAGGATAGGAGGGATCAGGGCTGGGGACACTGTAACTGGTGGCTTCTACCCTGCGCCAGGCTCAGCTGCTAGTCAAGCTGAGCTGGGGAGGACAGGACTTACTCTTCTCTTGCAAGAAGCGGCTGGGGCGGGGACGAGAATCCTCCCCAGCTACAGGAAGCCCCACCCCCCCGCTTCCTGCCCCTATCGCAGGGGGAGCACTCACTGTACAAGGAGCTGCTCCCCCATTCGCCCAACCTCTATGCATCTTGGACCCACCTCCATACCCACACTCCCCACTGAAACAAGCCCCCCACACCGAGCATCATCCCCTGAATCCAGAGCCCCCCTGCACCCACCCCCTACCCGCTGAGCCCCCACCACCATCACACCCGGACCCCCACACATCCAGATCACCCACCTCTGCACCCAGACCACCCACCTCTGCAGCCAGATCGCCTCCCACTGCCCTTCCCACTCAACCCCCCACCCCCCCTGCACCCAACACCTAGACCCCCACCACACTGAGCCCCAACCAGCTGCACCCAGACCCCCACACCAGCAAGCCCCACTGCCCCAGCACCCAGATGTCCCCACTATGCCCTCTACACACCCCCGCCGAGCCCCATCCCCCCCAGCCAGACCTCCCTGCTGAGCCCCAACTGCCTTCACCTGGACCCCACCTGCAGAGTCCCATTGCTATTGCACCCGGAACCCCACCAACAAGCCCCTGTGTATTCAGATCCCCCACTGAACTGCCCACAGATTGCCCCACACAGAACCCTCTCACCTGGATCCCTCCACACTTCGATCCTGCCGGGCTGACCCTGCTTGCCCACTCCTGGTGCACTCGGTTTGAAGGGGCAGGGCCCTTGTGCTGTTTCTGGGTCGGGTGCAGCCTCACTGCTAAAGTCCATGTCCTGGAGATGGGGAGCGGCACTGTAGGGTGATCCCTCACCTCCATGCAGCCAGTGGCCTGTGCTCCCCACTGCTACGCTGGAGCTCCACTTTATTTATTGACAAATAAAATTTGCAGAATTTTTTATTTTTTGGTGCAGAATTCCCTCAGAATTCCTGGAGTACACCTGCATTATCAGATGGGACTAAGCTCTGGTCTACACTACGAATTTCAGTCAAATTTAGCAACATTAGGTCGATTTAAGCCTGCACCCAACCACATGACCAAGCCTCTTATCGACTTAAAGGGCTCTTAAAATCAATTTCTGTACTCCTCCCCGGTGAGGGGAGTAGCACTAAAATCAACCTTGCTGGGTTGAATTTGGGGTAGTGTGGATGCAATTCGACAGTATTGGCCTCCGGGAGCTATCCCACAGTGCTCCATTATGACCGCTCTGGACAGCGCTCTCAACTCAGATGCACTGGCCAGGTAGACAGGAAAAGCCCCGGGAACTTTTTAATTTAATTTCCTGTTTGACCGGCATGGCGAGCTGATCAGCACAGGTGACCATGCAGAGCTCATCAGCAGAGGTGACCATGCAGTCCCAGAATCGCAAAAGAGCTCCAGCATGGACCGAAAGGGAGGTACTGGATCTGATCACTGTATGGGGAGACGAATCCATGCTATCAGAACTCCATTCCAAAAGACGAAATGCCAACATATTTGCCAAAATCTCCAAGGGCATGATGGACAGAGGCTACAACAGGGACACACAGCAGTGTCGTGTGAAAGTTAAGGAGCTGAGGCAAGCCTACCAAAAAACAAAGGATGCAAACGGTTGCTCCGGGTCAGAGCCCCAGAGCCGCTTCTTTGATGAGCTGCATGCAATTCTAGGGAGTGCCCCTACCACTACCCCACCACTGTCCGTGGACACCTGCAAGAGGGGAAAAAGTCTCACGCAACAGGGATGAGGATTTTTTCGAGGAGAAGGTTGAGGATAGTGCACAGCAGGCAAGCGGAGAATCCCTTCTCCCCAGCAGCCAGAAACTGTTCATCACCCTGGAGTGAATACCCTCCCAAGGCAGGCTCCCAGATCATGAAGCCGGAGGAGGCACCTCTGGTGAGTGTACCTTTGTAAATATAATACAAGCAAGCGTGTTTAATGATTAATTTTCCCTGAAGACTTGGGATGCATTCGTGGCCAGTATAGCTACTGGAAAAGTCTGTTAACGTGTCTGGGGATGGAGCGGAAATCCTCCAGAGACATCACCATGAAGCTCTCCTGGAGGTATTCTAAAAACCTTTGCAGAAGGTTTCTGGGGAGGTCAGCCTTATTCCGTCCTTCATGGTAGGACACTTTTACTACACCAAGCCAGTAGCAAGTAGTCTGGAATCATTGTAGAACAAAGCATTGCAGCGAATGGGCCTGGGCTTTGGTGGCATTCAAACAACATCCATTCTTTATCTCTTTGTGTTAGCCTCAGGAGAGTGATATCATTCATTGGTTCAAATGCGGGAAATTTGTTTAAGGGAACATTCAGTGGTGCCCGTTCCTGCTGAGCTGTTTGCCTTTGGCTGAAAAGAAATCATCCCCACTGTTAGCCACATGGGAGGGGAGGCCCATTCATGCTGAGCTGTTCACAGGGATCTTCCCTGACACTAGCCATGCAGGGGGGTGAGAGGTGAAGCGATCATCCAAGAGAATTGGGCGGGGGGGGTGTGTGTGTTGGGTTGTGCTGCACATTCACCCTAAAGCCACAGCCCCTCCTTTTAAATGGCCAATCCAACGGGCTTTGCTTGGTATGGGAAAGGAGGATGCTGCTGTTTGAAACCGTTCCCACATGTTATGAAGGTTGAAGAAGCCGAAACCCTTTGCCTTACCATGGCTGCCTGCAAGCCGAATTCTGTTGCCCAGCCGAGCACATGTGATGTCTCACACCAAATCAGCAGGCTCTCAATATAAGAGGCAAAATGCAACCTTGTACCAAAAGCACATGTGCTATGTAATGTGAATCGCCTGATTCAGTGTGAAATAGTCTTCCCTTTGTTCTCTAAAATGTATCTTTTTAAATACTACTCTCCCTTTTTCTCCCTCCCGCAGCTGCAAATATTTCAACGCTCCCCCATCATCTCCGTCCCAGAGGCTAGCGCAGATTAGAAGGCGAAAAAAACACACTCACGATGAAATGTTCTCAGAGCTCATGCAGTCCTCCCGCACTGAAAGCTCAGCAGAATGCGCAGAGGCAAACAATGGCAGAGACCAGGAAAACATTAAATGAACGTGATGAGAAGAGGGAGGAGCGCAATGAGAGGAGGGAGGAGCGCAATGCTAAGTCTAATGGGGGAGCAAACTGACATGCTCAGGCATCTGGTGGTGGTGCTGCAGGAAAGACAGCAGGAGCACAGACTACCACTGCAGCCCCTGTATAACCGCCTGCCCTCCTCCCCAAGTTCCATATCCTCCTCACTCAACCACTCCACCCCAGAGGATTGCCCAAGCAACAGAAGGCCGGCATTCAATAAGTTTTTAACTGTAGCGTAGCCTTGTCCTTCCCTCCTCCCTTCATCCACCACTCCAACCGGTGCTTCCCTCCTCACCCACCCACCCCGGGCTACCTTGCGAGTTTTCCCCCTATTTGTGTGATGAATTAATAAAGAATGCATGATTTTGAAACAATAATGACTTTATTGCCTCTGAAAGCAGTGATCAAAGCGGGGAGGTCAGTTGGCTTACAGGGAAGTAGAGTCAACCAAGGGGGCGGGTTTTCATCAAGAAGAAACAAAAAGAACTGTCACACTGTAGCCTGGCCAGTCATGAAACTGGTTTTCAAAGCTTCTCTTATGCGCAGGGCGCCCAGCTGTGCTCTAATTAACCTGGTGTCTGGTTGCGCATAATCGGCCGCCAGGCGATTTGTCTCAACCACCCACCCCGCCATAAACATCTCCCCCTTACACTCTCAGATATGTGGAGCACATAGCAAGCAGCTATAACAATGGGAATACTGGTTTTGCTGAGGTCTCACCTAGTCAGTAAACTGCGCCAGCAAGCTTTTAAATGTCCAAATGCACATTCTATCATCATTTTGCACTTGCTCAGCCTATAGTTGTATTGCTCCTTACTACTGTCCAGGGTGCCTGTGTATGGCTTCATGAGCCATGGCATTAAGGGGTAGGCTGGGTCACCAAGGATAACTGTAGGCATTTCAACATCCCCAACGGTAATTTTCTGGTCTGGGTAGTAAGTTCCTTCCTGCAGCTGTTCAAACAGACCAGAGTTCCTGAAGATACGAGCATCATGCACCTTTCCCGGCCATCCCATATTGATGGTGGCGAAATATCCCTTGTGATCCACCAGTGCTTGCAGCACTATTGAAAAGTACCCCTTGCGGTTTATGTACTGGCTGCCAAGTGGTCCAGTCCCAAGAAAGGGATATGCGTTCCGTCTATCGCCCCACCACAGTTAGCGAATCCCATTGCAGCAAAGCCATCCACTTATCACCTGCACATTTCCCAGAGTCACCACCCTTGATAGCAGCAGCTCAGTGATTCCACTGGCTACTTGGATCACAGCAGTCCCCACAGCAGATTTGCCCAATCCAAATTGATTCCCGACTGACCGGTAGCTGTCTGGTGTTGCAAGCTTCCAGAGAGCTATCACCACTCACTTCTCAACTGGGAAGGCTGCTCTCATCTTGGTATTCTTGCGCCTCAGGGCAGGGGAAAGCAAGTCACAAAGTTTCATGAAAGTGCCCTTACGCATGCGAAAGTTTCACAGCCACTGGGAATCATCCCAGACCTGCAACACTATGCGGTCCCACCAGTCTGTGCTTGTTTCCTGGGCTCAGAATCGGCGTTCCACGGCATGAACCTGCCCCATTACCACCATGGTGTCCAAATTGCCAGGGCACGTGTTTTGAGAGAAGTCTGTGTCCATGTCCTCATCACTATCGTGATCACGCTGTCATTGCCTCCTTGCCTGATTTTGCAGGTTCTGCACATACTGCAGGATAATGCGTGAGGTGTTTGCAATGCTCACAACAGCAGCGGTGAGCTGAGAGGGCTCCATGCTTGCCGTGGTATGGCATCTGCAGGAGAGCAGAGTTGCAGCAGAAGCGGTGGATGACGATGGATGCCATGAGAACAGATATTATACAGAACGACGAGAGGACCTGCAAGATGGATTCATGGCACCAGGAGAGAAGAGTTGCAGCAGAAGCGGTGGAGGACGACGGTTAGCACTGCGCTCATTTCCCAAGGAAGAACACAAGTACCCAGGAGCACATGACACACAACATGGGGAAATTCGCTATTAAGACAAGAGCAGGAGAACAGAGTTGCAGTGGAAGTGGTGGATGACGACGACGGTTAGCACTCCTAATGCACCGTCTGCTGACAGCAGTATGGCATCTGCACGGAAAAAAGGCACGAAACGATTGTCTGCCGTTGCTTTCATGGAGGGAGGGGTAACTGACGACATGTACCCAAAACCACCCGCGACAATGTTTTTGCCCCATCAGGAATTGGGAGCTCAACCCAAAATTCCAATGGGTAGCGGAGACTGCGGGAACTGTGGGATAGTAACCCACAGTGCAATGCTCTGAAAGTCGACGCTAGCCACGGTACTGTAGACGCACTCTGCCGACGTAATGCGCTTAGTGTGTACATATGCAATCGACTGTATAAAATAGATTGCTAAAAATGGACTTCTATAAGATAGACTTTATTTCGTAGTGTAGACATACCCTAAGTTTTCACTGTTTCTAAAAGGTTGATACTCTTATCGCCACTGAACTCTGCCAAAAAACACCACAGTACACATATCTTTATCCAACAAGCATGAAAATCATCAAGCATTTACCAAAATCTTACACCCAAACCCACAAGAAATAAGAGAAAGGGAAGTATGCTAAGACAGCAACAAGCATTGCTATGCCAGTCAATTAATGGTTAGCATAGTTTAATTCTGCTCTATTCCCCCTTAAAATTCCAAGTGTATATTGGTGTTTAGATGATTTTACCTTTGACAGTTTCCTCGGGCTGCTAAAGCCCACAAGGATCCGTCCTGGCTACATTCAGTGCAAAAACAAAACCCTGAAAAGAGAAAAGAAAAATCATATATAATCAGCTGTGATTAATCACGAGATCAAAATATGTACAAGAGAAAGGCAAACTTCCTTCTGAAGATAAGCAACCCCTCGCTTCCAAAATGATTTTTTAAAGTTTATCCACTTTCTAAATAGGCCCCTACCAAATTTACAGCCAAGAAAAACACGTCATGAACTGTGAAATCTGGTCTCCCCCTTGGTCTTTTGTGTGCTTTTACCCTAGACTATACAGATTTCACAGGGGAGACCAGCGTTTCTCAAATTGGTGGTCCTGACCCAAGAGGGAGTTGCAAGGAGGTTACAAGGTTATTTTAGGGGGAGTTGTGGTATTGCCACCCTTACTTCTGCACTGCCTTCAGAGCTGGGCACCTGGAGAGTGGCAGCTGTTGGCCAGGTGCCCAGATCTGAAGGCAGCGCCCCACCAGCAGAGCAGAAGTAAGGGTGACAAAACCATACCATTCCACCGTTACTTCTGTGCTGCTTGCGTCAGAGCTGGGTGGCCAAAGAGTGGCAGCTGCTGACTTAGGGCCCAGCTTTGCAGGCAGCAGCACAGAAGTACAGGTGGGAATACCATACCATGCCATCTTTACTGCTGCGCTGCTGCTGCTGGCGGCAGCTCTGCCCTCAGAGCTGGGCTCTTGGCCAGCAGTCACCGCTCTCCAGATGCCCAGCTCTGAAGGCAGCATCACTGCCAGCAGCAGCGCAGAAGTAAGGGTAGCAGTACTGCAAACCCCCCACAATAACCTTGTGACACCCCCACAACTTCCTTTTGGGTCAGGATCCCTACAATTACAACACCGTGAAATTTCAGAATTCAATCGCTGAAAATCATGAAATTTACAATTTTTAAAATCCTAGGACCATGAAATAGACTAAAATGGACCGTAAATTTGATAGGGCCCTACTTATAACGAAAAACAATTGCACAGGTAAAAACTCATGACTGTAAAGGAGGTTGTAAGAGCTACCTTTTTGCCTTATTCTCAGTTTTGTTTGCTTAATAATGGAATAAACATCTCATACCCACTGCGCTCCCATGTCAATATGCTCCCCTGCCCCAAGCAAGTTGCTCTTCTGAACCAATAACTGCATGCTACAAAAAAGTATGACTTTCACAGAATAGGAGATGAAGTATAGAAGTATGAATGGAAATGCACGTTACAAGCAGACAGCCTTAAAAATATATTGATGCTATAATACTAGATTATTTATTGTTACACACATTTATAACATCCATCACCAGAGCATCTCGGTGCCCTTTACATATTTTAGGTCAAGAACCATCAACATTTTTCCAAAACTGGAGAACTCATACTTTGTAAAACCTCTTCCCTTCTCCCCCCACAGCATTTAATCTTTTATCTCTCACTCACACACACACACACACACTGACTGGGAGAACCAGCCAGTAGACTAAATGTTAGAGATTTCACAGCCTGACTTTAATGGAAAACCTGAACAAAAGATGCATCTTACACTGTCCTGCATCAGAGGGCAAGCTCAGACCCACTTCAAGCAACACATTCCAGCAGTGTGGATCTGTCACAGAAGTCAACCAGTTCCTGCAAACTCCACCCTTGGGAGACATAACTAATTGTGTTGTGTGAAGAACTGATGTAATAACAGGACATAAGGAAGACGTGATCTCTGAAATTGCTGGGACCATTTAGGGCAGGCCTCACACATTTGTACTTGTCCATTTGCCTAGGGTAATGGTTCTCAAATTGTGGGTCAGGACCCCAAAGTGGGTCGCAACCCCATTTTAATGGGGTCACCAGGGCTGGGTTAGACTTGCTGGGGTTCAGGGCCCAAGCCAAAGCCTAAGGGATTCAGCCCTGGGCGGCGGGGCTCAGGTTACAAGCCTCCTGGCTTGGGCTGAAGCCACTGGGCTTTGGTTTTGACCCCTTCCCCACCCGAGGCAGTGGGGCTCAGGCTTTGGCCCCCACACCTGAGGCAGTGGGATTTGGGTGGGCTCAGGCTTCAGTCCCCTTTTCTGGGGTCACGTAGTAATGTTTGTTGTCAGAAGGGGGTCGCAATGCAATGAAGTTTGAGAACCGCTGGCCTAGGGTGAATAATTTTTTTAAAAAGTGAGTAAAATATCCTTTTTTCATTATTATCCATCACTGAGGCAAATGGCAAGTGCAAGTGGATTCTGTGCCTGTGAAACTACACTTTCATGACAGTTTTGCAAGACTGATAAAGTGCTGTATGGGCGGCACCCCAGTTTTCACCCAGACATGAACTAGCAGCCAGGGCAAACACCAAAGCATAAGTGTAACATGCTCACACCAGTCTTCCCTGCAGCTTCTGAGGAGTCTTCAGGGGTAAACCCACATAGAATACATTCCAGTTCTATAACACTGTGGTGACAGAGGCATCAATAACTAACAAAGTCCATGCTGAGATACTATAATACTTTTGCTAGCCAAGTATAAAAGGAGTTTCGAACTACTGCTCCGCTCTGGGAACCCAGGACCAAAGCAGAGTCTAGTATAACACTGTGAAACACTTCTGCAATAGGTGAGTAAATACCCTCAACTGAGAAAGAGGTTACAGTATTTCCTACTTTTTAACAATGCTTCTCCTTGCCAATAAACATTACGATCATAGTATCTGAACTAAATCTAAGCCAACTGACTTTCATCCAGTGTCTTGTTTCTACCAAACATTAACAGAACAGGGAAATGGTTCCATCTGGACATAATGAAAAGGATCCATAGAAATGAGAGAGTCATCCACGGTGTAGCCCATCATGTCTCACAATCTACCCCAGGGACTTCACGTACACTTTGAACAAGTGAAAACGGAATCTTCTGGAGTGACTGTACTGAAAGTGCTCAAAAAACAAAGCCATCACTCTGCACAACTCCCTGGGATTTCTCAGAAATTAACTTGTGGCGACCCTTCAAAGCAACATCATCAAGACAGCAGCACACAGTGATAAACATTAAAGGCTACTAATAAACCTAAAAGCATCAGGATGCATGTCTGACTGCCATCCACTGTCCAATGGTATTATCAACCTACCAGCAAGAATAATGCAATTTCAGGGTCAGACCTAGGTTTAAAAACCTGATTGACTGGGATCCAAAGTTGGAGGATATCAGATGCTACAGGAATGGCATAAGACTGCCTTTTCAGTGGCCCTTCCCTGAAAGGTATTGGTTAGAGGCTGGATATTAAGGGCTTATCTACAAGAACAAATTAGTTTGTGGCAAGCTGGGGCATGAATCTACCATGCAAGAGCCTGCTGCAAAACAATCATCCATGTGGACCCTGCAGCAGGATCCACATGGACAGTTAGTCTGCAGCAGGCTAGTGCATGGCAGATTCACTCCCCAGCTTGCCACAAACTAATTGTTCTTGTAGATAAGCCCTAAATTGCTATGTCATCAATATCAAGTGATTGTGTTTTGCGCTAGGGCCAGACTACAGCATGCTTATGGGTTGCTAGCAGCGCTCTCCTCAGGGATGCATGAATTAATCACCATCATAATCTGCCCAGCATGCCCCACTGGCTTTTTACCAGTCACGGCACGAGAGGACCTGTACAGTGAATCTACTCTCTCTCACTGAATGAAAATCAGGGAAGACTGGACATTCATTTGCTCCCTCCTGTTTTAATAGTGCTACCACAGGTCTCTAAAGACAGTCCTGAATGTGACCAATAGTGTTGTCTAAGTAGTTTAAAAGACTAAAACCTAATGAAGGCAGACTGGATTAATCAGACAGACCACCACCTAGAGCAATTCTGCTGAGAAGGACTTCACAGAAATCATGGTACAGAAGAAAAGTCCAAGTGTGGTGTCTACAGTGGCAATTTGTCGATGAAACTTTTGCGTAAAAGCCCTCTGAGTCTCGTTGAGGTGGCTTTATTTCACCAATGAAACTGAGGAGTTTCAATGCCAAAAGTGGCACTGCAGTGCGTACACCTCCACTGTTTTGTCAAGAGAAGTTGTCTTTCACAGAAAAAACTTGGCAGTGTAGACAATGCCTTAGTTTCGACCACAGCCATGACCTAGGAATAAAAAACAAAACACACACCCCCTTATGATGCAATCCTTCAGATTAAGCATCCATTTCTGCCAACAATGTTCTAGCTGGTGCTGTAAAGATCCACCTGCATAAGCAGGAATTTTACCCAGGTAAGCAGTAGTATCCATTCCACTAGAATCTCTGAAGGATGTTAAACAGAAGCTACTAAAGTGAGACATTTTTGAATTAGCAAACCCAGATAACTTGCATCAAAGAGTTTTAAAAGAGCTGACTGAAAAGCTCACTAGACTGTTAATGTTGACTTTCAATAAGTCCTGGAGCACTGGGAAAGTTCCAGAGGACTGGAAGAAAGCTACAGTTGTGCCAAGTTTTAAAAAGGGTAGACAGAATGATCCAAGTAATTATAGGCCTGTCAGCCTGACATCAATCCCAGGCAAGATAATGCAACAGCTAATACAGGACTTGATTAATCAAGAATCAAAAGAGTATTGTAATAAATGCAAACTGACATTGGTTTATGGAAAATAGATCCTATCAAGCTAACTTGATATCTTTTTTTATAATGAGATTGCAAGTTTGATTGATAAAGGAAATAGTGTTGATGCAATGTACTTTGACTTGTTACCATATAACATTTTCAATAAAACATCAGAACGATATAAAATTAACATGGCACACATTAAAAGGATTAAAAACTGGCCAGCTGATAGGTCTTAAAATGTAATTCTAAATGGGGAATCAATCAAGTAGGTGTGTTTCCAGTGGGATCCTATAAGGGATTGGTTCTTGGCCCTATGCTATTTAACATTTTTATGAATGACTTGGAAAAAAAAAATCATCACTGATAAAGTTGCAGATGACACAAAAATTGGGGGAGTGGTCAAGAAATGGACAGGTCACTGAGACAGTGATCTAGAGATCACTTGGTAAACTGGGCATAAGCAAATAATCTGTGGTTTAATAGGGCTGTCAATTATACATCTAGGAACA